ATCTATCTATCTATCTATCTATCTATCTATCTATCTATCTATCTATCTATCTATCTGCAAGATGTGTTGCATATTAGCCCCAACCCAACTCTAAGGAACTGAATTACTATTAAACTATTTAAAACTAATACTATTAAGCCTACAAGAATTCATTGGAGTCGAGGGGACAATAAATTCAAACAAACGTACTGATATATAAATAATATCTTCATTTGAAGCTTTGCTCCAAGTAACTTTCCTTTTTGAAGTCAAATGGTTAGAACTTAAGAGCAGGTCCTGGGCAAATATTACAGACAATTCTCCCTAGAATGATTGCTTGGAACTTAGTTTATACAACTTAGAAAACAAGTGAGAATATTTGAATTTTTCCCATCTTTTGTAAGTTACATTGCGACTATCATTTCTTGCATTTTACAGTAGTTTGTTATTATTATCCCATATGATTACAGGTAATGTTATTATCTCTATACAGTATTCTACCAGGAAAGGAAAGGAAAGGAAAGGAAAGGAAAGGAAAGGAAAGGAAAGGAAAGGAAAGGAAAGGAAAGGAAAGGAAAGGAAAGGAAAGGAAAGGAAAGTGTGGGGGTTAAATGATCCCAATGAATAAAAATAAATAAAATTGGCAACTCTCTTAACTGCCAATTCCTTGCCTCTTATCCCTTTCTCACATCTTTGAAAACTGATTTTGGTGGATAAGCAGGAGAGAAAATAACAGCAGATGGGGCTGCTTAAAGCCAAAGTTTCTTCTTAGTAATGAGCATTCCCAGAACTTCCATCACAAATGAGACTTTTCACTTATGGGAAACTGGGAAAAATCAACAGATACAGCTCCTAGAGTTCATCTTAAGGTTTAAGATATGCTCAGAACGTCAGGAATATATCAGCAGCAACAATATTATTTTCATTATGATAAGCTACAGAACAAAAATTAAAAAATAAAGCAATTAAAGAGAAAATTAACACAATATAGTAATTTATAAAACTTAAAACATGTAAGGAAAAATCACATGTTTGAAAGACTACACTGAGGAGGTACAACTTGATGGTTTTTTCTAAAAGCAGAACAAATGCAGACCAACTCCAGCTCCATAAGGAATGACACATTCATTTCCATACATTAGAACCTTGACAAATGGACCTCTGCTTGTAGGGCTATATTCAAAACCTTTCTGAAGTTTAATGCTGAGTAGATAGAATGTTCCTCAAGCAACATTTTAGGGCTTCCAAGTTTAAAACCAACACCTTAAATTGACCAAAGCAGTGGACAACAAGGGCAGATATTTAAGGGTAGATACATATATTATCATATAGCAACCTTCTTACTGCAAATCCATCAACTAAAGTTTCTGAATCCTCTTCAAAGATAGCTTCCATATACAGGGCATTGCAAAGTCTCAGTCATGTTGCTATTAATACCTCTGATGTATATATTTATGTATTTGTAATATTGATAAACTGAGCTCCTGACAAGCTAGTCTGTGGCCATTTGCAACTGTTGTTGCATTTGATCAGTTCAAGATCTTAGAGCATTAAACATAATTAACTAGACCTCCTCCTTGCTACCACCACCACCACCATCAATTGGATGTCCAAGGATAACTTCTGATTAAGGAGTTCTCCCAAGTGGCAATCTGCCCCTTCAAGGGGAGCATAAATCCTCGGAACTGGTATATTAATCCCTTTTATTGCACAGCACGGAACATTTGATGAAATGAGGAAATGATGGCAGGAAGGTTAGCTAGAGTAGAACAGTTGAATGGAAGTCTGCAACCTTTGAGGGCTTATGGGCACATCTGGAATTTTGAGAACACTTTGTAGGCTCCGCCATGACATGGTTGCAACAGAAGGGGGTGCATAAGAATCCACAGAATGGCTGGATAGAGCCAGTCACAAACACCTATGGGCAAACTGATGACATTTTTTCCTGACCTCCAAACATGCTTCATGCTTACATCTTCCCATTTGCTTTTGTCCCTTTTTTCCCCCTAGGCAAGCAAACAGTTTCTATCAAAGCACTGCATGGTAGCCACCTACAATTTTTTGCATCCTCTCCAAGGATATTCTTGAGAATAAAAGTGATGTTGGAAGCTAGTCATCTGTTATGCAGCACGACACATTCTTTTGTTAAACCAAAACTTTAACAAAACGTTTTATTAAACTGCAGCAGAAAGGCTGGAGAATACCAAGATAGTGGGTCTCT